GGGGCACAACTGGTCGTTGGCGAGATATAGATGTTGTAGATGAGAATTTCGGTTTTGCCGGACGTGACGGCAACAGCCATCTGTTCCAGATGCGCGTCAGCTGCGTTAGGCTTTGATGCTTCAATGACGCGATATGTCACGGTTTTATGAATCATGAAGGCGAGGCCTCCGCCGTTGTTGTGCGTTCTGTCGCGTCGCACCGGATCGTTTTAGATTCGATCGAGCGGTGAGTTTTGTTTCTTGGAGAGCACAGAGAAGTATGCCGTTGCTTTCCAAGTAGTTGGTGATTTCAGCTAGTTTGCTCGTCAGGCCGTTGCAATTGAATTGCAATATGTGGAAGGCCACGGGTGTGTGATGTTGAGGGGGTCTGTGAGCTGCCGGAACGGGCTGCAGACAGCAGGGTGCAGTGAAATTCGGGTTCCAGGCGTTTACGTTTGGTAGTGATGAGCATTTGCGATAATGGCACCATTGTTGGCATTTGTTGCATTTTACGGAAGTGGAGTTTTTGCGGATGATGAGTTTGCAGACGGAGCAGTTCCAAACCGGGGGGCCCGGGTTCAGTTCAATGCCGGCCATTAACAAAAGCGATCGGAGCAGCCCGACTGGCGTAGGTCGCTCCGCGGACCAAAAAAATCGACCCGGTGGTTGAAGTTGAGGTGACGATCCTTGGTCGAAGCGCAGTAACGCGTCGAGTGGCTCCGGGACGTAGACCCGATCGTCGTGAGAGCCGATAGTAACAAGCGTCACGGTAACAGGTGGCATGGAAACAAGCGTCATGGTAACAAGCGTCACGGTAATAGGCGGCATGGTAACAAGCGTTACGGTGACAAGCGTCACGGTAACAAGCGTCACGGCAACAAGCGTCACGGTAACAGGTGGCATGGAAACAAGCGTCACGGTAACAAGCGTCACGGTGACAAGCGTCACGGTAACAGGTGGCACGGTACAGCCGCGTCACGGTAACAAGTGGCACGGTACAGGCAGGTCACTGTAACGTCACGGTACATGCAGGTCACTATAGCGTCACGATACAGGCAGGTCACTATAGCGTCACGGTACAGGCAGGTCACTATAGCGTCACGGTACAGGCAGGTGTGTGAGGGCACGTGTAAGGATATGTGTGAGGGCACATGTAAGGATACGTGTGAGGGCACATGTAAGGGCACGTGTGAGGGCACGTGTAAGGATACATATAAGGATATGTGTGCATGAGGGCACGTGACGTACCGTACTGCTTGTACATGAGTCGCTGCAGCGCTGCCAGCGTCAAGACGTCCTGCTTGGCCCCCCCTGCGCCTCCTACAGTGGGGGTGGGGGGCACCCGCTCCCCCTCACTGCTTGTCTCCACCTGCTCGACCGTAATACAATATTAGATACAATTTTTTATTACACTATTATAACCATAATATATTAGATATAATATCACATCTACGATATTATAAGCCTGATATAATATTAGCTATAATATTACATCTATGATATTATAAGCTCGATATAATATTAGATATACCGGTAACATTACATGTACACTATTATAACCAAAATATAATATTATATACAATATTATATTACACTATTGAACGATAATACTCTCAGAGAAATGAGTGGGAGAAGAAAATAAATCCAAATAGCCATCACTTTTGCTCTTGAATCCTGTTTCACTATTTTGACAATATAACTTGAAAACAAAATCAAACTTGTTATTAACACAGCCACACTATCACCCACTCACCACCACACCACTAACCAGGACAATCACCACCACACCACTAACCATAACACTCGTCACACTCACCACATAACTCACCAAACCACTCATCATACTCACCACCACACTCACTACTCACCACATCATTCACCAAACCACTCATCACACCCACCACCACACTCACCACTCACCACACTCACCACACACAGCTTGAGCCAGAGGTAGTCGTCGGTGGTGGTGGCGACGTCGCTGTGGTCCTCCATGACACCACACCACTCACACCACTCACCACACTCACCATACACAGCTTGAGCCAGAGGTAGTCGTCTGTGGTGGTGGCGACGTCGCTGTGGTCCTCCATGACGTCACAACGGGCAAGCACGCAGTACAGGGCCCGTTTGTACGGGTCCCTGATGGCCCGTGCAGACCTCCTGTACGAGACCCTGAGTCGCTTCTCGTTCTCTGCAGACACGCGCTGGTCTGCAGACCTGCTCGCCTGCTGCAGACACGCCACCACCTCCACCACTGCAGGGCAGCTGCACATGTACAGACGGCGTCACGACGCAGACCATGTGTCTTTACAGACCATGCCTAGCGCTACAGACCATATGTCTATACCGACCATGCCTAGCACTACAGACCATATGTCTATACCGACCATGCCTAGCGCTACAGACCATGTCTCTACACAGACCATGCCTAGCGCTACAGACCATTGTAGTCTCATAAGTTACTTCTTATGATTATAATGCGATATCAATATCATATTTCTAGAGTACCTTTCGCACTATAATATAATGCTATAGTATTACTATCATCTCCCGTGGATATATTGCTTCATCGCCAACACCTCACAAATGCCTCACTTTTCCCTCACCACTGCCACTTCACGGCCTCACAAATGCCTCACTATTCCCTCACCACTGCCACTTCACTGCCTCACTACTGCCTCACTTTTCCCTCACCACTGCCACTTCACGGCCTCACTACTGCCTCACTTTTCCCTCACCACTGCCACTTCACTGCCTCACTACTGCCTCACTTTTCCCTCACCACTGCCACTTCACTGCCTCACTACTGCCTCACTTTTCCCTCGCCACTGCCACTTCACGGCCTCACTACTGCACCTGTTCTCAGTAGCAGCGCTGGCGGCCTCCCTCAACCCCCCCGCCCTGACGCAGTAGTACAGTAGCGGCCACACGGGGGCGCCGTTGCCCCCCACCCCGTCCTCCAGCAGGGGGGCGACCTCACCCCCCACAAACACCGCGATGTAGGCCTTCACCAGCGCTACATGGGCACATACAACATACTTTATTTATACCAATTAATAAACAGCATTTATTTGACGCTATTTCAACGTTTGATGCTTGGAGGGTAGAAATGCTACTTTTGATAAATAACAGCAATTTGAATAATTTTGAGCACATGTTATTGAAATCAAATATTAGTATGCAATAGAAGATAAGCCAATATATTACATTACAACAATAAAATTTTATACAAGACATTGCAATACAATACCATACAATCCGATAGTAGTAGTAGGTTTTCCAGCAATGAAAATAATTTAAAAACATTCTTTATTTTGCGCTGGAGTTACGGGCTTAAGTTATGTCAGAAAGAATTAATCTCTTGAGTGGTGCCATACCTGCGCCTGATACGACCAGGCGCAGGTGTTTGGGATCAGCTTTAATTTAGCGTACCCTGAACACTTTCTTCCCAGAATGAAGGTCCGCTTTAATTTAATCCGATGTTCACCTCAGTTTAATGTACCGTCACTGAACTGTGCTAGATCTCTGATAACAGGTTACATTCGATTAAGGTTACATTAGATTAAGGTTACATTTAATTGAGGTTATATTCGATCAAGGTTACATTCGATCAAAGATAATTCGATCAAGGTTAATTCGATCAAGGTTACATTCGATCAAGGTTACATTCGATTCAGTATCGTCAAAGGTTATTGGTACACAAGTTGCTTCAAATTGCTCCTTCTCTCAGCATTCTGGTCAACATCTCGTCTTGGTGGGGGAAGATGTGTTGGAATAACAGTTTTGTCGAGTTTTGCTGTTGCTAAAACACGTCACAACCACACGGTACTATCCCTGACTTGTAGTAAAGGAAGAGGGTCTGTGTGCTGCAGTACACATCATGTACTTTCAGTAACACGTCACAACCTCGGTACTATCCCTGACTAGTAGTAGAGGAAGAGGTTCTGTGTGCTGCAGTACACATCATGTACTTTCAGTAACACGTCACAATATAATTTATATAATATAATTTATACACAAGAAAATAATGCGCCGTACCTGCGAGACCAGGCACGCCCTTGAGTCCCGCCCTCGCCAGGTTGTTGTACACCATCGTCTTGATGTGCGTCTTGTACCTGTGGTGGAGGGATGAGTTAGTGGTGAGGTAGGGTGGTGAGTGGTGCGTCAGAGGTGAGTAGTGCGTCAGAGGTGAGTTGTGCGTCAGAGGTGAGTGGTGAGTTAAAATGGTGACAGCATATTAAGAAAGTAGGGTGAGCGTATCTGCGTATGTAGCAGCACGCTACTGTATGGTGAGTGAGTCAGCACACTACTAGTCTCAGAGCACAGGTCTGAAGCTTAAACTAATTGCAACATCAGCCGTGCCACCAGCTGCAACCTTCTCCCCGCCCCGTACTATACATCAGCAACAACCCCACCTGCAATACCTGCTGTGACCTTAAACACCTGGACCACACAAACTATCCAACCCTCTGGTCCACACAAACTATCCAATTAAACATCACAACGTCATTATCTGACGCACTCAGAGAATTTTGTCCATATATCGAAGAACTTTTACCATCATGTGGGTGATCAGGGCCCTGCTTGGCGAGTTAAAATCTAAAAAAAAACGATCACTACTACACGCAGTAAATGCGTATCTATTCGGACAATATTACCATCTATTTTTCGTGGTGCAGTATAGATAAACATGGATGAAGTTATCGTCAAACCCACACGGTTATATATTCGACAATTCGAAACGTTCGGGAAAAATCGATAGATCGTTAAATTGAAAAACTGTCATCCATCACAAAAATATCCGGAATGAACACGTTCTTCTTATTAGATTTTGAATGAACACGGTATTATTACTATTATTAACACGTTATTCCCAAGTCCTGCTCAATTATTCTAGGTTTTAATTCATTGTTTCATTTGATATTAAAGTTATTACGCTCGTGACAAGGGGTAACTCAAGCGGCGGTAGCCGAACAACGAACGCAACCCTCATTGGAACACAACTGTTTACCAATATGACACGCAAATTATCGTAAAAAATACAGCTAATTATCGTCAGAAATACACCCAATTCTCGTCTAAAATATAGCCAAATATCGTCTAAAATACATAAAATTATCGTCAAAAATACACCAAATTCTCGTCAGCAATACAGCAAATTGACGTCAGATATACACAAAATTATCGTCAGAAATACACAAAACTATCGTCAAAAATGCAGCAAATCATCCACAGAAATGCTGTAAATTATCGTCAGATATGCAGCAATTTATCGTCAGAAATACACCCAATTATCCACCAAAATACACCATACAATCGTCTACAATACAGCAAATTGACGTCAGAAATACACAAAATTTTCGTCAGAAATACACAAAACTATCGTCAAAAATACACAAAACTATCGTCAAAAATACAGCAACTCATCGTCAGAAATGCTGTATATTATCGTCAAAAATGCTGTAAATTATCGTCAGAAATACACAAAATTAACGTCAACAATACAGCAAATTATCGTCAACAATACAGCAAATTATCGTCAGAAATACAGCAAATGACTGCAACAATACAAGGACCCGTAGCGGCGACCTGGTCGTGGGCGTCGACGGTGACGGCGAGGTCGCACATGGCCTGAGCGAGCCCCGCCCCTCCTGACGAAGAGCTGCGCTCCAGGGCGCGCTCATTGTGGTCCACGAGGGGGCGCGTGTAGGCGAGCTGGTCGCTGCTCAGCCCTCCGCATGCCGTCTCTCCAGGCTCCCCGACCGCGGGGCGGCCCTCTGACACCGTCAGCGCCTCCTGCACCACAAGAGGTCTTGCTAAGTGATGGTCTTAGCAAGTGATTCATGAGTAATTAAATGGAAGCCATGCTAATGAGTTGCAGACCCCAACGACCTGCAGACTACACTGACCATGAGACACGACTGACCTGTAGAGGCAGGCTGAGGGACAGCAGGTCGCCGTCCTGCACGAAGGCCTGCAGCAGACTCTGCTTGCTGAGCTCCCACTCGCTCTGCCGCTGTTGCGCCGCACGACACTCCACCTCCTCGCTTGTCTGGGGGAGGGAGAGACAATCTACATAATATAATCTTATCTGTCTAAGGGGTCCGGTGTCCACGACACGGCGATCACTGCACAACGCCCAGCATTTTCACCTTCACCCTCACGCCACCCCGATACACTTTCACTTTCATCACCCTAATACACTTTCACCTTCACCACCCTGATCCACTTTCACCTTTTTACTTTTTAGCACTTTCATCTTTACCCTCACGCCACCCCCTTCTCATGTGGGGACGAGATGAACGTGAATATCATCCTGGCCTCGGCGGCCAAAAACATTTCCCCAACCACATTCAGAAGAACTTCTCTTCCTCCCTCGACCTTTACGCCGAGTCGCTCGTTCAGCAACATCCGGCTTCCAGAGCTTAGCCTGGAAATTTCTCTATCCATACAGGGCCATGTCAGGGAACCCTGGCTTACGCATCTTACGTAATGCAAAAAAGCGCTCACACTCGTCCAAGTACAGCTGCCTATTTAGCTGCCAAGGTGGAAGGCGCTTTCGCCCGCCTCGCCCCCGGAAATAGCCCAGTTAAATGAACCACACGCCACTCTCCCCCCACTGCAGGATATAAACTGCCATCTCAATCAATTTAGTTATTCCTCACAAACACACAAAAGCACCGCCGCGGTATTTGGTCCTAACCTCTCGACAAAGACTTCCCGCCTTATCACCAACAACCTGGCGAGGCTCGCCATTACAGCTGCCAGCAACTCACTGCCACGCAAACACAACGCAAATTATTCTCTATAATACACTGATGCTGTACCTCGTCGTGGGCGTCTATGGTGGTCGCAAGCTCGCACATGGCATAATTTTCCACCTCAATAACCTGGAACTCCGCGGTCTCCAGTTCCTCGACCACATCTTAAACATTTCTGCATCCACAGCTTCTATTAATTAAGGCTATTTGGGTTTGGGAAGAACTCGATAATAATCGCTGTAAACGACAGGAAACTGTCGTTCCCCAAATTACTTGATATTTTTAATTATTCGCCAGGAGGGTTTTTAATGCATCATCTGTTGGGTCATTTTATCATTCACAAAAATGTGCAAGACCGCACACGTCAAGTAGTCGTGTCATACACACGACAAAGTGATTACTCGCTGTCTACCTAAAGTTTAGGTTAGGAAGGGTTTAGGGTTAGGACGGTTTAGGCCCTAAACGGTCTTGTGCAGAGAGTTGTCCGTACCAGAGCAGTATGGTAGTAGCCTAGTCTGTCAGTAGCTACCGAAATTATGATGACCAATGTTACCGTGTGCAATACTTCGTGCAATATGAAGTGTCTTGTCGAGCTTAGCAATTATTATATAGTGAATGTCATTTTAATTAAAGAAGTTTCCTTAAACTATTTTACCTGGAGCAAATACGATCTTAACGCAAGTGTTTTCAAAAAACTATTTCAAATATTATCTCTGATTTTCGACCAAGGACACGTGAACCATTGAACAGGCACGTCTCAGAATTTGACTAGCGAGTGTAAATTAGGAATAGGATAAATGAAATAGCTCAGCCGCCTCTAATTTTTATATTCGTCCTGATGCTTGAGCTGTAAATGCTCGCTCGTATCCTGACCGAAAGCAGTGATGGGTAAACTGCGTGAGGGTCGGCATTTCATGAGTACTTTTTATTTATTAATTTATTATTAACTGAGAACTGATATTACCCAACTAAAAACTTGTAGCAGGATCGACCAGGGATCATCCTGCCCCCCTATATCCCTCCCCTGTTGCCTACCCCTGGCACTTTACACTAGGGTCTGCCCCCAGGTCTAGGTCTAGGGTCTTTACACTCAGCGACGTCTGCCCCGAGTGCGGGGATGTCGCCTGCACCTTCTTCCCCAGCACCCTCAGTGTCCCCCTCCTTGTGGGACAGTCCCGTGGGAGTGGCAACCTCCCTGACAACCCTAGGTGTCTTTACCCATCACCCCCGTCTTGAGCGCATGACGTCAGCGCATAAAACAATGACAATAACAACAATATAAAAAACGACAAAAACCACATAACCCACAACAACAAAAATAATAACAACAACAACAACAACAAGAACAAGAACGACAATATAGTATAATCAACAAAGGATAACAGTAGGACAATAGTATAATCAACAAAGGATAACAATAGGACATAGTATATCCAACAAAGGATAACAATAGGACATAGTATATCCAACAAAGGATAATAATAGGACATAGTATGTCCAACAAAGGATAACAATAGGACATAGAATATCCAACAAAGGAAAACAATAGGACATTATATATCCAACAAAGGATAACAATAGGACATTATATATCCAACAAAGGATAACAATAGGACATTATATATCCAACAGAGGATAACAATAGGCCTATACCAGGTGAGGCAGACTCCGGGTAGGCCGTGTGAGGGGAGGCCGTGTGAGGGGACGCGGTGAGGGCTGTGAGGCGGCAAGTCATGTGAGGCAGGTCCAACCCTCGCGACCCCAGCAAGATAGACCTGAGGGGTCAGAACGGGGGTTGGGTTAAGGGTTCAGAGTACACGTACAGTAATCTTGCTTTATATTCACGTACCGCGGTTGTACTTTATAGTGGGTTTACATGAACTATTGATGAGAACAATCATTACTTCATAAATACATTAATTAAATTTATGAGAAGAATCATTGATTCATGAAAACCCTTAATTTAATTTATGAAATATTATTAAGAAGAATCATTAATTCATGAAAAACATTAATTAAATTCATGAATTAATGAGATGAATCATTAATTCATGGAAATTTTTAATTCAATTTATGAAATATTATTAAGAAGAATCATTAATTCATGAAAAACAATTTAATCCATGAAATATTAATGAGAACATTCATTACTTTATGAAAACCATCAATTTAATTTATGAAATAATAATGAGAAGAATCATTCCCTCAACTTCGCGCTTTCTGAGGAAATCAATGGGCATATTTAACAGCCCACGCAATTCGACCGATATTAAGAGTGTGGCAAGGGTTAGTAAACACTTAGAGCAATTAAATCTTGACAAACAAATACAATATATATATATATATACAATATACAATAAATATATACAATATATATATACAATAGTATATATACAATATATAATAAAATAATTACTATCAGTTGATCAATTCGCCATCGCAAATTTCACTTATCCTGGCCAAGGTCCGGAACGCATCAGCCGCGATAGCCGAGGCATTGTATTGTATTGAATATATTAGTAAACCCTACAGGGATAAACCCACGCCAAAATGCGCCTCGTCATGAATAATATTCAACATTTGAGTAACAAGTGATATCAGATATCATTTCTACACTCAGGGAAATGAAAGAGACTTTGTCTAAATAACGTTCGCTCTCTGCTCGAGCTTTGGGCTTGAAAGTTCACTGCTTGGACAATATAACACATTGATTTTATGAGTGCACGCGTGAAAATCACATCAAAAATATAACCCAGTACTCACTGCAGTGAGTGACAGAGAGCGCATTTTCTCGTCGACGAAAACTTAAAGTTACAGACGGACGGACGGACCTGACGAGCACAATTAGTGCATATTCTCCATAAACGAGAAAATGCGCTAAAAAATACTATTTAATTGCGAAGTATGTTACTTGCAGGGCACGGCACCTGCCAACGCGCGAAAGGAGACAACATGTGTCATTTTTCATTGAATATCAAATAATGGGAAGAAATTAAAGCGTTCACGGTAAACTGTATGTGAAGGGCAAATAGTGCGACGTAATAACCGAGCGGCGGCATATGGGCTGAAAGCCGCATGCAAGTGGACTCAGGGTTGCCAGTTGGGCCTATACAGGCCAAATTAGACAATTAAGGCCTTTTTGGCGCATTTTCTCATTTATGGAACAAAAGGCGCCATTGTGCTCGTTATGTCCGACCGTGACATCTGTCCGTGGCGTCCTTCCGTCCGTGACGGACGGAAGGACGTGAGAAAATACGCTCTCTGTCACTCACTGCAGCGAGTACTGATCTAATTTTTTTCAATTACGCTGGCCGGAGAAATTGCTGAAGGCGTCAAACTAGTTGCAATTTCAACCATAACATTAAATTATTTGCACACCAAATTACAAGTTTCCCATTATTTTTAGAAAAACGATGAATCGATTCCGAAACGTGAATTTTGGCCGTTTTGTAAGCGGATTCAGCCGTTTTCTCAGGCCATTAACTGGCACCGTTGCTGGAGGTATCCGCGTCCGCTGCCTAGCGTGCAGATGCAGTCAGTGTGCCGCGGCCCGCCGCAGTGGCAGGTCGTGGCGGGTCTGAGCTCGTGATTTGCGCGCCGTGAGTGTCAGATTTTGTTGCTCTCATTGACAGCGAGGTTATCGACAAGGAAAATTATGCCAAAATTGATAACTGGCGTGCTTAAACAGTTTGATTTATTTGATTACAAAAGCCTTGTTGCGTCACATAATACAGCTGGCAAGTCAATGTTTAAAAAATTCGTGTTTTTGTTTCAAGAAGAGAAATTATTCATTTTCGTGCACGCAGTTCGTATTGCAAGTTACAGTCTTGCTAAATTATTGTGAGCGCTGCAAAGGATGGTCGGTACCGTGAACGACACTGTGTCATTATACAGATTATACGAGTGAGTGCTTCAAGAGAACCACGAGAATTGAACAAAATAATAACACAAAAAAGGCAAAGAATATAGGATGTATATTTAATTAAGAAGCTTATGCTCAGAAGATAATCTGTGAACGCAACTTTGCAACACAATTTCCCCGCTGATATGTACACTCTGAGAGATGAGGGAGACTTTGTTCCAATAGCGATGCACTTCAGCCCTTGCGTGTGTCGTCCTGACCCAGTTTCGCCCAGCAAAAAGGCATAGTCTTAGCTAAAGCAGAAAACGTATCACTATTTGAACAAGATGACCCATTAAGTTTTCCAGCTATAAGAGAAATAAAAATAATAATGGGCAACATAGCTGCACATTATTATTTGATTTAATCAATCAATTTAATCAAGAAAGTAAAGATAATAAATGAGAAATAATGTGCAGTATAAGAAGAATGTAAATAATAAATGAGAAATAATAATAATGAAAGTAAAGATATGATCCCAGTGACACGCCAGTCTGTTTACGCGCGAGATGCGTGACGAGTGATAGGGGGGCCTCTCTTATCTCGGGTTGTGTGAGGACAAGGGGTCACAGCTTGGCCTCTCACGCCTCACAACACCAAGGGTTGTGTGAGTAGAGGACACGCTTGGCCTCACACGCCTCACAACACCAAGGGTTGTGTGAGTAGAGGCCACCTCTCACAATACCAAGGGTTGTGTGAGTAGAGGCCACCGCTTGGCCTCACACGCCTCACAATACCAAGGGTTGTGTGAGTAGAGGCCACCGCTTGGCTTCTCACGCTTCACAACACCAAGGGTTGTGTGAGTAGAGGCCACCGCTTGGCCTCACACGCCTCACAATACCAAGGGTTGTGTGAGTAGAGGCCACGCTTGGCCTCACACGCCTCACAATACCAAGAGTTGTTAAAGTAGAGGCCACCGCTTGGCCTCTCACGCCTCAAAAAACCAAGGGTTGTGTGAGTAGAGGCCACGCTTGGCCTCACACGCCTCACGATACCAAGGGTTGTGTGAGTAGAGGCCACCGCTTGGCCTCTCACGCCTCACAAAACCAAGGGTTGTGTGAGTAGAGGCCACGCTTGGCCTCACACGCCTCACGATACCAAGGGTTGTGTGAGTAGAGACCACCGCTTGGCCTCACACTGCGTCACACGCCTCACGATACCAATGGTTGTGTGAGTAGAGGCCACCCTTGGCCTCACACGCCTAACAATACCAAGGGTTGTGTGAGTAGAGGCCACCCTTGGCCTCTGAGTAGAGGCCACCGCTTGGCCTCACACGCCTCACAACACAAAGAGCCTCGTAACTTTACCATGCCTTTGTACGTTCCGAGCGAAGCGCTGGACTAACATGTGTACAGAACACATTTGTATTGTATGGCAGGTCATGTGGTCCGTTTGAGTGTTCATATGGAAGCTATGTTGGTGTGTTTGTATAGAGGGTCTCACCATATTAGTCGGTGTATAACATGCAGATTTTATTACATTTGGGCCCTAAACTTGCGAGGCGTCGCAAAATACTGCGGATAATGGGTTACACATATTATTCAGCAAGGTAATGGGTTACACATGTTGTGTCAGTATTATATGGGTTATACTATTATTTAGCAAGGTAATGGGTTACACATATTGTGTCAGGTATTATATGGGTTGCACATATTATTCAGAAAGGTAATGGGTTACACATATTATATCACGGGAAATACAAGAGAGGTCATACAACAGACCAGGGATTTGCCTCAAGTAGTCACTCGCCTAAAATATACAGGGTTAAGGAACTAACCTGGATGGCAGCGAATACCTGTGACTTGAATACTTAATTTGATTGCAAAACTTGCCTTTTCCCCAACAGAGCAATGGACCGTGTACTATATTCACACTCTGTATGTGACTTTATGAATGCCTTCATGCAATACATCTACGAACAACACGTGCACCCAGTATCACAAAGTGTACATTTCAGAAGCCACTTCAGTGTGTTCAGTGAAGCGAGGAGCTGGTGCGCAGAAATGGGAGCAAAAATTTCAGAAAATTGATAAAAGTTTTTTTCTTCACGTGTTCAAAAGTGAAAAAATCCCAAAAAACTTAGTGTAACTATTGATAGAAAGTCGCAATTAGTTCACCGTCATCGGAGTGCAGTGTAAGTTTTAGGTTAAAAGCTCATGCCTGCAGGACTTCCGATTCTCTAACCTATAGCACTCAAAACCGAGCCCACAACTTTCAATTTATCAAGTGACTCGAGCCAAGATCAGAACCTTACATGAACATGAATGCAGTGAACATGGCATGAATGAAGTTTTATCTTTGCTTGGGGTTCTAAAGACGAGGTCAGAACCTTAAGCTCTCATTTTAAAACCACAATTAGCAAATATTTGATGCATACACCATTAACTTTGTTCCCCATATCCTAGATCAGTGACAGCGATGGTCAGCGGGTGGCATCACTAGGGAAATAGCCACGCTGGACATCAGGCAGCGTTGAGATGGCATCAGGGACTCTCATGCCACAAAATAACGCATTATTTCTCCCAGACGCCACTTTAGGTTCTTACTTCAATATGCCCACACCAAGCTCTCTGCGCTGTGGGGAGGAATTATTGCTGTACCCAGCGATCCCACAATTGTCAAACGAGGGACATGTCATCCGAAAGTTGTCCGAGACGGCGACACCCGAGTTGTCAGAAGTAGGGAAGGTGATGGCAGAGATCAGAGAGACTCAATTACCTCCAACCTCGCAAGAGGGAAGAGGTCTGTGGTCCACCTCGAGGAGCGTCAGCAGCGAACTCGCATACAACTTGCACCAGAATACTTTACGTGACAACGCGTACCTTATCTCTGGGGCAGCAGCAGAAAGTGTGCGTAACACCACCAGTGACAGGC